CCAAAATTAAATCGAGATGGAATAAGTAATTTAAACAGATTTATAACCAGCAACAAGATTGAAGTAGTAGTTTAAAAATAATCCTCCTGCACTTGGGAGGCAGAGGCAGGTGGATCTTTGTGAGTTCAAGGCCAGCCTGGTCTACATAGTGAGTTCCAGGACAGCTGAGGCTACAGGGAGACCCTGTCTCAAAAAGACCAAAAAAAAAAAAAAAAAATCCCCCTTGGGCCGGCGTGGTGGCACACTCCTTTAATCCCAGCACTCGGGAGGCAGAGGCAGGCGGATCTCTGTGAATTCGAGGCCAGCCTGGTCTCCATAGCGAATCCAGGCCAGCTGGGGTTACAGGGAGACCCTGTCTCAAAAGACCCGCACCAAATCCTCCTTGATGTTGGAGAGATGGCTCAATGGTTAAGAGCATTGGTTGATCTTGCAGAGGACCTGAGTTTGGCTCCCATAACCTACATGGTGGCTAACAACCAATCATAATTCCAGTTCTAGGGGATCCAACACCTTCTTCTGATTTCCACAGGCATTGTTCATATGTGGTGCACTTACATACATGCAGCAAAATACCATGCACATAAAATAAAATAAAAAAGAATTAAAAGAAAATCTTTCAACTTAAAAAAAAAATCCAGGAGGATGGAGATTGTAGAACGTATGTGGTCTGAAAAGAGAGGGAATATCAAGGGTGGCAAAATTTGAACAGGGATGGGGTGGTGCGTGGGGGAGAAGACGGTGTCCTGGTTTCCAGTGAAATCCAGATAACCATTAGGGAATACTTTGAAAACTCAAATTCTAAAAAACCAGGAAATTTAGAAGAAATAGATAAATTTCTAGACATTTATGATCAACTAAAATTAAGTCAGGATGATAGAAATAGGCTGGAGAGATGACTCAGCGATAAAGAATATTGGCTGTTCTTGAAGAGGACCCGGGTTCGATTTCCAGCACCACATGACAGTTAACAACTGTCTGTAATTCCAGTTCCAGGGGAACTGGACATCCTCTTCTGACCTCTGTGGGCATTGCATGACATGAGTGCACTTACATACATGCAGGCAATACATTCCTACACATTAAATACAAAAATTAATAAAATATTTAAAAAGATGATAGAAGCAGTAATAAAAATTTACCAACAGGGCTGGAGAGGTGGCTCAGTATTTAAGAATGTTAATTGTTCTTTCAGAGGACCTGGGTTTGGTTCCCAACACCCACACGGCAGCTTAAAACAGCCTATAACTCCAGTTCCAGAAGATCTAAAGCCCTCTTCTGGCCTCTATGGGCACAAGTCACGAGCATGGTGCACATATATACACATAGGCAAAACACTCATATACATAAGAAAAAAATAAATAATCTTTAAAAAATAATCTCCCAACAAGGAAAAGCCCAGGACCTGAAAAATTTACTACCAATTCTACCTAATCTTTTTTAATTAAAAAAATATTTTAGGGGCTGGAGTGATGGCTCGGTGGTTAAGAACACTGCCTGTTCTCGCAGAAGACCCAGGTTTGAATCCCAGCACCCACGTGGCAGCTAGCAACTGTCTGTAACTCCAGTTCCAGGGGATCTGACAGCCACTTCTGTCCTCCGCAGGCATTGCATGGCATTGGTGCACTTACTTACATGCAGGCATAACACTCATACACATAAAATAAAAAATACTAAATAAAATATTTTTTAAAAAAGATTAAAAAAATACTTTATTATTTTAATTTTATTGTTCTATTGTTCTCAAGCATATTTCTGAACATGACCTATCTGGTCCTATGGTGTGTGTGTGTGTGTGTGTGTGTGTGTGTGTGTGTGTACGTGTGTATGCACGTGTGTATCTGTGTATGGGTGGAGGCCGGAGATCAACCTCAGGTGCTGTTCCTCATGCACTGTCCACCTTGTTTCTTGACAGAGTCTCTTACTGACCTAAGGAAAAGTTCAAATATCCAGTAGATATTCTTAAAAGTGTTCAACATATTTAGCTATCATGAAAATGCAAATTAAAACTACTTTGAGATTTTAATCACACCCCAGTCAGAATGGCTGTCATCAAGAAAACAAATGATGGGGGCTGGAGAGATGGTTCAGTGGTTAAGAGCCCTGGCTGCTCTTTCAGAGGACCTGGGTTTGAATCCCGGCACCCACACATGGTGGCTAACTGTCCATAACTCCAGTTCCAGGGGATCCAATGCCCTCTTCTGGCCTCTGTGGGCATTGCATGGCATGCACGCACTTACATACATGCAGGAAAGACAGACTCTCATACACATTAAATAAGTAAATAAATAAATAGAAGAAATAAGAAAACGACTGACAACAAATGCTGGTCCTGGTGTAGGGAAAGGAGCTCTTAGCCATTGTTGGTGGGAGTGCAAACTGGTACAACTATGGACATCAGTTTCTTAAAAAGTTTAAAATAGAACTATCATATGATCTAGCTGTACCATTTCTGGCCAAGGACTCTAGATCTTGCTACAGAGATATCTGCACATCTCTGAAGTGGAATTGGCCTAGCTGTTCATTAACTGATAAATGGATAATAAATATTTGGTATATTTGGTACATTTTCATTCATTACATGGATTTTTATTCAGCTATAAGGAAAACTGAGATTGTGAAATTTGTAGGAAAATGGAAGGAACTAAAAAATATACTGAGTGAGGTAACTCAGGCCTAGAAAGAAAAATACCTGATGTTCCCTCTCATGAGTGGATCCTAACTTATAATTTTTATGTCTGTGGAAGAGAGTGCATAGTGGCCAGGAAACCAGAAAGGGGCCCATGAGAGGGGGAAAAAAGAGACTATAAAGGAAGAGGTTAGGGAGGAAAACAGACCATATGTGATTAGAAAGTAGAAGAGAGCCTGGAATGAGGACAGGTAAGGCAGGGTCAGTTAACACTCAGTGTGTTAGAAAGTGCCATTATGAAACTTGCTACTTTGTATCCTAATTTTAAAAAGGAAAGGAAATAGCACTCCAAAAAGACTCTGGGAAAGTCTTTAAAACTGGCACTGAGGACACAGGTCAGGCTTTAGGAAGACTCGTACAGCAGGACTTTGGGGCCTGCGTTCTAGAATTTGTGACTGGCCACCTGGGTGATCCTAGGCAAGTTTTTGGCCTCTTTGAATGTCTTCATCTCTTAAGTTGGGGATAGGAAGGAACCTGCCTCATAGGGTTGTGAACTAAGTGGGCACCTGTAACGTGCTCAGTTCAGCTTCTGGTAAATTTGGACTGCCATTATTCTTGGTTTTAGTAGCAGTAGAAGGACATGAGCAGCTGTGTGCTGACGTCAGCATCACAGTCATCATCACTACCACTATCCTGCTTCTCTGACGCACTCATACTTCAGGAAGTCTTGTTACATTGAAAATGGTTTGTTAGCAGGAATGAACAAATTTCAAAGGGGGCAGGCAGAAGTTTCTGGAGAGGCTCTGGCTGCTGGGTCTGGTTAGGACTCTGCTTAGTGGCTTTGAGAAGCATGAAGGCACCATAAAGACCATGGACCCAAGGAAAAAAGGACGGAAGGCAGAATCTGCCCACTGAGTATGTCAGTGTGTTGGATACAGCACAGCTGTTCTGGTGATAAGTGGTCATGTACATTAATGTTTGCATTCTATGTTTAATGCCCTGGTGGGCTGGGCCTCAAACATGGGAATGGGAATCTGACTAGAAGCACAGTGAAGGGACCTTGACTCTTTGGGGATCTGTCACCATAGGAGACCTGGTATTGCCAACATCCCCAGTCATCTGAGGAAGGCCTTTCTCAGTCTAGAGCATATAAAAAGCCAGGCAGATGAGGCAGAAGTCAGACAGCAGTCCCAGTGGAAACCAGCCCCTGGTCTAGAAGACATTCTTGCCAGGGCTTCTCTGTTTGGCCTCTGTGGAGATTTGTGTTCGGCAAAGGACTTGGTCTAATTGCTACAGACAGATGCTGTGTTCTGTCAGCCGAGGCAGATGGGCAATGAAGGAGGCAGTGGGGATGGTTGTGTGGGAGGAGGCGACATTTGTCAATATGTCAAGGGACAATGTGAATACAGAGGGTGCATTAGAACTTTTACATTTTTTTTAATTTTTAAAAAATATTTTATTTATTATTTTTTATTTTGTGTATGGATATATTGCCTGCATGTTAAGTGCGCCCATGTTGTGTAATGCCTGAGGATGACAGAAGAGGGCGTCAAATTCCCCTGGAACTAGAGTTATGGATGGTTATCTGCCTGTGGGTGCTGGGAATCGAACCCAGGTCTTCTTCAAGAGAAGCCAATGCTCTTAACTACTGAGCCATCTCTCCAGTCCCATCAGAACCTTTTTAAGTGAAAAGATGGAATTATCTTTTCTAAATGACAAGCAGGTCTGTAAAGATAATGGGGTCTCAGAGGATATCCATTTTTGATTCCTTGTGGTTAGATGAAAATCAGCTACAGGGAATAGTGAATAGTTTCAACCTTTCCCCAGATAAAATGCTTTAGCAGAGCTGCTGACAGTTTGCAAAATGAACTGTCACGTTCTCTCATCATAAACAGCCAAAGGGCCAAATAGCATAAAAAAGAGAGAAGAGCTCTCTTCTCTAGTGACGTACTAATCCACACACCCAGTGGTTGCCAAATAATGGAGTATTGATGCACTCAGTAGCACAATTCCTGGCCTGTAGCTCTCTGGCACTGCCACTCCCTGGGCGGCCCTCTCACACCACACCTTCAGGGCCACATTGAAGCAGTTTTACACTCTCATTAAGCCAAATCCAAGTCCAAGCTCAGTGCTGCCTGCCTGGGCCCTCATCTGCTCTGTGTCTGGCTCCTTACCCCTTTGTCCAGTGGCACCTTCACATTCATGGAGAAAGATCCTGTTTCCCTGTTGATCATGGCTGTTCTCAGCTTTAAGAGGAAAGAGAAGGGCTTTAGTACTGCTTACCTGGAGTAGGGAGCTCTCATTAAGCCAAATCCAAGTCCAAGCTCAGTGCTGCCTGCCTGGGCCCTCATCTGCTCTGTGTCTGGCTCCTTACCCCTTTGTCCAGTGGCACCTTCACATTCATGGAGAAAGATCCTGTTTCCCTGTTGATCATGGCTGTTCTCAGCTTTAAGAGGAAAGAGAAGGGCTTTAGTACTGCTTACCTGGAGTAGGGAGGTATTGATTTTTACTGACCATGTCCTAGGATCCCTCAGGACACTGGCTCCCATTGGCTCACAATTTGGGGCTTTGACTGAGGCGATGTTGCGAGGAGACCGATACATTGAGGTGCAGTGTTACGCTGCTAGGACACAGTTTTTTTCTAGGATCTGATGTGGAGACCAAAAGGTAGACAAAACAACGCCGAAACCCAAGCTGGGCTTGTAGGTATGATTTCGGTATGCCTTGGTAAGTCTTGTATTTCCATAATTGCTGAAAGGATTCACAGTCACAGAACCCAACTGCACTGAGGTTGTTAAGTGACCTCAGCATTCCCGGCGCCTGCTGGCTGTGGCGATGACTAGTCTCCCTTCCCCTTGTTTTCCAACTCACTGTTTCCGTTTGGTCTGCCCACTCCACTTCTGAGAGGTCCACACTGTTGTAGTTGGGTTTGGGTCTTAGTTTCTCGCCTTCTCTGTACTGGAATGGGCCAGATATGATGGAAAACAGGGGGTTAACATGCACGCTTTTCCCATTTCCTCTCTAAAGTCTTTCAGGTATATTCATTAAAAATCAAAGCATCCCATGATTCCTCACGGTGTTCCAGCCTGATCTTCCACTAAGTGCAGAGCTTCCCTGGCCAATGAGTGCCACAGATAGCCTCCGGGCCTCCTGGGAATGTTTCCCAACAGGGATCTTCCTGTTTTAGGAGTCAGCTTGTCATAGTGTGGATAGCCCTAATTACTAGAACATTCTCTGTCCTATGGAGTTCAAATCTGTCTCCCTATGACTTTTACCCACCGTTGTCAGTTTTCTTCTGGAGTCACCCAGAATGTGCTCCTCCTGACACTTGGGGTGCTCAAGGCCCTTGTCCCTTCCCCAGGACTTGACTGTAGAGCATTCCCAGTCTGCAGATGCCTTAGCTCTATGAAGATGCTCCACTCTGTCAATGTCATCCCCAAAATGCAGCTCCCAGGGCAGAAATCAATATTGCACATGGCATCTGGCCAATGTGGTGAGAAGTGTGGTCTGTGGCTAAAGCATCACACAGCTCTGACTGTGTGCCCTAGGGTTCTGTTGGCTGCTTGAACAGCCAGACCAGCTTGGCAGCCCAGATGGCGCCGTCAGCCAGGCAAATCCCCTTCGTGGTGTCATGTGGTACACGCCTACGCCTAGGCGTTCAGGAATGGCAGAGCTGTTCACCCATCCCTCATGCATCTCATCTTGTTAATTTCAATTTTAGAATACATTCTGAGCAATCATTTTCTCACTTAATCTATTAGCAATATCATCCAGATTGTAGGAAACATTTTCATCTTGATAGAATTTTTGAATTGGTCAGAGTCAAGGGCAGATCTACAGTGTCTAATAACCACATGTCTCCAAAATTTGACACAAATTGATTAATGAACACTCAGAGCTGAGTGTCAGTGTTTCTTTCTCTCTCTCTCTCTCTCTCTCTCTCTCTCTCTCTCTCTCCAGATACCATCAAGTTATCTATAATTAAGTCTGTGGTACTTCCCAGGTTTACTTTAGTAATGCATCCATAAAGGAGAGAGGAAGTTTATCATTCGAGTAAATTAAAAATAGTAGCCTACTTCTGTAGATGAGGTCCTCAGCAGGTTTGGGGTAACTGAAATTACTGTCATTGTGTATCTTTCTTCTGATAGATTTTTTTGTTTGTTCATATGTCCCAGAAAAGCATTATTTTAATTTTTTCCTGTTCCAATGTATAGTATGACCTCTACCAGTGTCCCCTAGTCACCTGTCTCTTCACCCAGGCCCACACAATGCTCTGTCCGTTGCCTTACTGATATCCACACTCATCAACTAGCACTATCCCATCCTCTTCTACCCAGGCTCTCTCTCTCTGACAACATTCCAGTGCTATCTCCTCATCCTGAAAGCCCCTGACAGACCATAGCTCATCCTTAGCTGCTCATATTAAACCTAAAATTCTATTACGTTAGGGCTACTGAGATAGAAAGATTTCAGGCCCACAGCGTGGCTCTTGACCTTTTTTGATTTTATTGCTAGGAATTACTTTGCTTCCTGAAATGTAGCCACTTATTTCTTTTCTTTCTCTTTCTTTCTTTCTTTCTTTCTTTCTTTCTTTCTTTCTTTCTTTCTTTCTTTCTTTCTTTCTTTCTTCTTTCTTAAAAGTTTACTTTGAAAAAATTATTTATTTATTTTTATTTTATTTGTTTGAGTGTTTTGCCTCCATGTATGTAATTGTACCTGTGTGTACAATGCCTGCAAAAGTCAGAAAGGGCATCAGATCTCCTGGAACTGGGTGCTGGGAATGGAACCCAAGTCCTCTGAAAGAGCAGCCAGTACTCAGCCACTGAGCCATCTCTCTAGCCACTATTTGCTTTCTTGACAGTGCCTTCCTTACATGGTGCATGGCATTGGCTTCACCATGTCCTTTTCTACGCAACTGTCTGCTGAGTAGCTTCATGTATCTTCTTTCCTTTATTAGATATGCCCTTCCACACTCTTACTAGCACTATAAGATCAGGCACACAGTAGGTCCACAAGATGAATTGGCTGGTGAGAGCATTATTCATGTGGATTGAGTAGATGGATGCTGATAGGTAGGTTTCCGATCAGTACCCTTTAATTCTACAAGTTAGCTCCAGGATTAATATATGTGCTCTTTCCATAGAGCATTATTTGATGGCACTGGTCCCCCACAAAGCCCTCTGGTCTAAGACTGTGACTCATTAGGGTTTCAGATGCTTGTCCCACAGAGTCTGAGTTGGGAAGACAGAGGGTATAGACCGACGCATCCTGGTATCTCTACTCTGAACCCTATCATCTACTGTTAAGTGGCTCGGGCAATTGTCTTATGTTCTGTATCCACTTGAAATAATAGCAAGGGATTTGGCTCAGCTGGTCTCCCCAATGACTCCTGGGGCAGAGGAGCTGGTTAGTAAATTCTCCTCTACCCAAGCCTCTTCTAGGGTTCCTTAAAAAACTGGAAGAGGAGCAGGCTTAAGATGCCTCTAGGACTTTAGCTCCCCTTACCCCTCCAGCCACCACACTGAGCAGTGTGACCACTGATACTGTGGACAGCAGTCATGCCCCGGGACAGCTTCTAGACACTGAGATGGAATTTTCTTTCTCAAACACCAGTTGCTCAGGAGAACTCATGTGAAAATACTTGTAGCTCCTGGAGAGAGTCAGATGAGGACAGGGGTCCTCAGCAGCATGGAAGACCAGCTCGGGGGGCAGTCACTGCCCTTGTGAAAGGGCTCTGCTTCATTGTGAACTCACTGTTTATACCCCCTTCAGTGGGCTTTTGGAATTCTGCTGATCCATCTGTCAGGCTGTGGGAGGGATGGAGTCATTGAGACAGCGTAACGAATGTCTGTAGTGGTTTCAATTAAAAAAATTTTTATTATTTTTATTTTATGTGTATGAGTGTATTGCCTGAATGTATGTGAGTGCACCCATGTCGTGCAGTGCTGCGGAGGTCAGAAGAGGGCTTCGGATTCCCCTGGAACTGGAGTTAAGGATGGTTTGTAGCTGCCGTGTGGTGCTGGGAATCGAACCAGGGTCTTCTGTAAGAGCAGTCAGTGCTCTTAACTGCTGAGCCATCTCTCCAGCCCCGGTTTGGATGTTTAAAAAAAAATATTTAGTTTTGGAGTACAGTACCTGTAGAGGCCAGAAGTATCAGATTCCCTAGAACTGGAGTTATAGGTGGTTATAAGCTACCTGATATAGTGCTGGGAACCAAACTCAGGTACTCTGGAAGGGCAGTACACGCACTTAACTTCTGAGCCATCTCTCCAGTGTGGTTTTGTTCTTAAACAGCCCTCCACAGCCCATGTGTAGAAGGCTGTGTCCCCAGCATGGCACTATTGGGAAATAGTGGAAGTTTTAGGAATTTTTAGGAGGTGAAACCTGGTGAGCAGTTTTAGGTTACTAGGTCATATCCTTAAAAAGGATTATGAGAACTGGGTCTTTTTCCTGTTTATAAAGAAAACGGAATTCCTGACTATCTCTATGGTTTTGTTATAGTAATGGAAAGCTGACTGCCTTACAGGACTCTGCTTTCACAACCCCAGCATCCATTACGTGCTGTCTGACCTGTTTATCAATATTTCCCATATTTTTGCCTCATATATCCTGTTAGATAATAAACAATTTGAAGACAGGAGCAATGATGTGAAATTTTTTCCTTATATTATTCATTGAGTTTTAACTGTTTTTTTGTGAACTGTCCCCAAATCTCACATTGTTAGAATCTCTAGGCAAAAAGATCTGTACCTACCAAGGGTTGGAGGTCAGGATGAGAGAGGATGTAGCCGTTATTAGTGTTCAAAAAAGCATATCCATGTACCCCGAGCTGCCAAAGTCAAGGGTTGGGAGCATTAGATGTGTTGGATGATGTTGTATATGTCCTTCCACAGACAGATGCCACCTTCAGATGCACCTGCTTGCCTAAGATCATTACGGCTTGCTAAATGCTCATACCCAGCATGGTAGGGAGGGGCAGGGAGAGTCGTGGGGCTCTTGCTTGAGAGTCCAGCCATACCTTCCAACCAACCAATCGGCTTGGGGTAGAAGGTAACGGTATATAGGCTGGGGAAGCCTGGGGCAGGTTCTCACCATTTTATGTGACCATGGGAAAGCTACCATTCATGCTTGGATGAAGACTTTCCAGTGCAGCCTTGGGGAGAGGCACCCACACTCATGTGAGTAAACCCTCTCTCATTGCTTTCTAAGTAAGCCCGATAAACTCACTGGTTTCCCAGACTGCAGTTTGATTAAGTCATACCTTGGTTTGTCATTGGGACCAAGAGAAGGGAGGGCAGATGTTGTTTACACCCTTCCAGAAGGAATTTCAGTTATAGATGACTATATAGGGGAGGGCCTGGAGGACACACAGGATGGCTGAAGATAGCAGCTTTTAGCAGTGGGTGTTTCAAACAGGAATCTTACTGAACCAGTACCCTGCTTCCCCCCACTGGTTGTGAAGTCCCTTCCAGAGCCTAATGTTTGGAACAACCATGATAATATCATAACATTGCTTGATTCTTTGATGATGGCCTTTCGATCACTCTTTTTGTTTGTTTGCTTGTTTGTTTGGAGACAGAGTCTCATGTAGGCCAGGCTAGCCTTGAACTCATTATGTAGCTAAGGATTACCTTGAACTTCTGATTTTCTTGTCTCTACCTTCCAAAGTACTGGGAATCCCACCATGTTAGGCTTCATTCACTCTTAGACAGGACTTAAGAGACATGAAGAGCAGACTGAGAAACTGAGGTACAGGTAGTAAAAGAACTTGTTGAAAGCTACAGATCCAGTCATGGCTAGTGGTGGCAAAGGGGCCCAGGAAGACAAGCCACTGCCAGCATCTACCTGGGGCCCAGACAAGAGGTCCTCCCATCCTAGCTCTGGACTTGACTGCCCCTGCCTGGAGAGAGGCTCCTGGACCTGTTGTAATTTGGGTCTGTAGTATCGTACAAAGCCCCAAGTGTTGAGGCCTTGATTGACAGCTTGTTGTGCTACTGAGAGAACTTTGAGGAGGTATGGCTTGGTGGGAGGAAGTTAGGTCACTGGGGAGAGCTCTTGAAAAGGATGTTGGATTCATGCCCTGTCTTGTCTCTCTTTACTTCCTGGCATCCTTGAAGTGAACAAGTTTCCTTTGCCAGGTACTTCTGTCATATATTCTACCTTGCTACAGCTCCAGAGCCACAGGGTCAAGCAACCATAGACCACAATCTCAGAAACTGTGAGCCAAAACAAATCTCTCCTCTCTTTAAGTTGATTTTCCTCAAACATTTTGTGACAACATTGGAAAGCTGACTGACACAGTCCCTCAGGAACTTGACCCAGGCTCACCTTGTAATGGGGTGCCAGCTTCAAAAGCTCTCTTAGGGTCACGTCAGAGCCCACCACGCCCAGGAGAATGCCATGAAATCGCTGGAAGGAAAAACAGGGGTCAGGGAAACGGTGCATGAGGCTAGACTAGACTCTAGGCATCCCCAGAGTCTGGGAGAAGAACACTTAGGTCTTAAGCTGACCATCCTTTTCAGTTAAATTTTAGGTTGAATTCTCTCAAATAAAAATGTAAAACCAGTCACACAAAGCCACAGGAACAATCTTAGCTGCTGGGAAGATTAATGCCCAGTATTAATATTTAAGTAGTAATATTTAAATGAAATACAAAGTTGAGTAAAATATTAATCATCACAGCAGAGGCTGAAATACGGGGTGCATACTTATTTGGCCTCTACAGCACGAGTGACCTGTAAAGAAGCATTTCCTAACTAGACAGAGGATGGAAGGCTCTAGAAATTTCCTCACCAGAGGCCTTTACACACAAGTTACAGTCTTCCCCATTTGGCTAGTCAAGTGTGGTTAATCTGGGAATCTAGCAGAAGACCCAGTAGACTTATGTCTCCAGGACAGAGCAGGGGGCATTCCCCTACTAGGCTGCAGGAATTTCAGGAATGCATTGATTCCCTTACCCATAGTTGATCAGGTGGTTCTTACATGGCTAGCCAGGGATTGGACCTGGGAATCTGCATGTAACACTTTTGGATGGCTGTGACGCTCGGTGGCTCTGAGTTCTAATGTCTGAGGCCACTTGGTGGGGGGCAGCCACTCACTGTTTCATTCTTTTTTGCTGAAGACAGGCGTGGCCACTGTGGTAAGGAGCATCAGGCTCTGTGCCTTCGAGGTGAACATCTGTCAGGGAAAAAGGGGCAGAGGACAGAGGATCAGTGGGCCTGAGGTATCTTCTGGTTAGAGCAGTGTGGGAAACCTGATGTTGACACCAACTCTTAGCACTGCCTTCCAGTGGAAAGGAAGGAATGTAAGGGGAGCTGGTAGAGTCCAGGGGAATGCTGGGAGAGCTGGGGGGAGAGGCAGTCCAGGGCCATGTCACTTGGTAAAGCAGTGAGCCCACAGCATGCGAGCCAAGCAGTCTTATCTGGCTAGACAAAGGATAAACTCAAGCCCAGGAAAAAGGCTGTTTTGTACCTGCCTACACACACACACACACACACACACAGGACCATCCCAGCACAACTTTTCCAGATGCTGTTGATATGGACCCTAGGTTGCTGTACCATGTGACTCAGGCCAGTGAACAGGAAGAAGGACATGGCTACAGGGCCACTTGGACATATGAACATGGATTAGGAGCCCCAGCCCAAGGGCAGGGCATCCAGACTACCATGTGCCTTAAGTCACCCCTAACACACACATGAGACAGAACTGGAATTAGAATCATGTCCAGTCCTGGAGGAGGGGCTCCCCTACTACCTCAGCAGGGGCCCTGTACTATGGCAAAGATGAAAAGCACGCTGTTTTTTTTTTTGTTTTGTTTTGTTTTTTAAGGCTGGCCGTCACCCAGATCACCTGGTGGCCGCAGAGTCTACAGCCAGCAGACTTCCTCAGAAAAGCAAGAGCTTTTGACCATCCTCTCTCCCCATTCCTTACCTGATATCCCAGCATTGAGTTGGAAAGCAAGGATTTTCCATGCGTGGACTACACTGGCATCTCTCTTTGTCCTGGGATCTGTCTTTTGGGCTACAGAAGACTCTTAGGAATCTGTGGGGTTGTGGATTTACAAACCAGAGGTGAATCTTTATGGGAGCTGCGTCTAGGTCTTGGCAGGCCCCCTTTCCCATCTCATGCTTAGGTAGGGTGAGCTGCCTCTGCATGTCTCTAGACCTTGGTGCAGGACAGGATACCTGTCCCCTCAGTGGACTAACATCCTTAACCCAAAACTTCCAGAAGTCCATCTAAGCACCTGTAGACAAACCTTGTCTTCAGGGATGTTGAAGTTGCAGAGGACAGGGCAGGGAAGAAGACAGGAAATGTGGGGCTAAAGGGGTTTAACTGAAGGAGAGGTCATTCTTTAAAAGTGAAGACAAAACTGTGCCTTTGTCTCCAGGCATGGACAGAAACACAGATCTTGGAAGACCTTGTTGACTTGTGTACCTAAGAATAGCCTGGAATAACCTGCCTGAGATAATTTGTACAGTGGATCAGGGAAGGAAGACTTTGCCTCTTCCTGCCTTCCTCTCCTTCCCCATTCCTCTGTTAGATACATGCCTGGCTGCTGTCCAGCTGTGGCCATCACTGTCTGGGGCCCAGGCCCCTCTCAGTACATTTCAGGTTCTTAGAGTCCTCCTTCTGCCAGGTCCTCAGCACAACCTGAATATTCAAATGCAACGGGCCCAGTGCATGCTGAGCTTTGGGGGCATGGATAGATGGATGACGGACCAGCAAGAAGGGACAAGTACAAGCATGGGACATGGGGCAGTCGAGACAATGCCAAAGCAGGTCTTCCTCTCTCCCCTCCTCTTTGCTTTTTCCCACTGTCCCCACCCACCTGGGACAGACAGAGCCTGTGACCAAAGACCACCTAGACAGGTGGCTACATACAGGATGTGCTTTGAGAAGTAGTAGGAAGGTCTCCCCCCCCCACCCGACAAACATCTCTGATGACCTCCTTGCTTTGAGATGCATTCCTTTGTGTAAGACATGGCTTCCTCCAGCCTGTGAAATGCAGGAAGCACCTAGGATGAAGTGGTAGGTTGGTGTGCTGGACAGCTTCAGTTGTCAACTTGCCATGCGTGGGAAGAGGGAACCTCAGTTGAGGGATTTTCTCCCCATTGGCCTGTGGTCATGTCTGAGGCATTTTCTTAATTGCTGATTGATGAGGGAGGGCCCAGCCTATTGTGGTGGTGCCACCTCTGAGCAGGTAGTCCTGGTTTGTATAAGAAGGCAGGCTGAGCATAGGCCACAGGAGCAAGTGAGTAACCAGCTTCCTCCCTGGTCTCTGCTTCAGCTCCTACCTCCAAGTTTTTGCCTTGTGTTCCTTCCCTGATGGTGGACTGTCATTTGGAAGTGTAAGATGTAATAAACCCTTTTCCCCTAAGTTGCTCTTTCATCATGGTGTTTTATCACAACCACAGGAAAGCAAACAGAACAGATGATGAATCACTGGTGTGACCACTTTCTTCTCATGGCAGGGGCGAGAGGATAATGAGGGGGAAGTGCAGAGGGGGAAGGAACACACAGGAGGTGGGGTGTCTGTTGGGCAGGGATCTCGGCCTCTGGGAGCAGTCCTGGGTACACAGCAGTGCTATCGGTGGGCAAGGAGAATACTAAAGGCTTCCATCCACCCTCCATGACTCCTTCTGGGGAGGCATGTTCTTGGCCCTCTCCCAACCAGGAAGTCACCTCTTGCTCCCTGGGTCCCTAACTCTGGGCCTGCCCTCCCATCTGGAGCCACCATCAGGTTTACCCTGCTGTCCATGTAGGCCTCTGTCCAGATGATGTCATGGTCGTGGTTGATGACCATGGGGCGACTGAGCACATGCAGGTACTCCATGACATTCTCCTGAGCATCTGCCAGTGTGGAGATCTGTGTGTAGTAGCCTGGAGAGGGGAGGGCTGTGTGATGATTGGGTACAAAGGAGGGGTTCCATGTAGTCCCTGCGCTGGACCCATGCACCCTCTCAGCTGCTGGTTGCTCCCAGCCAGGCCTCTCTAGTCACAGGAAAATACTTCCTGGAAGTCATGCCTTATTTCCCAGTGGGAGACAAAGATATATCCTGGTGCTGGAGAGATAACTCAGTGGTTAAGAGCACTAGGTGCTCTTGCAGAGGACCTGGGTTCCCAGAGAACATGGTGGCTAACGAGGATCCAAAACTCCAGGTCCAAGGGATCTAATCCCTCTTCTGGTCTCTGCAGGAACTGCATATACAGGTGAATTTACATGCAGGAAAAACATTCATACATACAAAAATAAATAGCTAAATAAATCCACAGACTATCCTGTCTCAGCTCAGGGCCATCTGACCTCTAGTACTCCCCAAAACAACAGCAGGGCCTTGACTGTAGAGTGGCACCCACCAATAAGTCTCCTACATGTTCCTCTCTTTGAGGGTCTGTTCAGGGACCCCAATTCAAGGCAGTAACTCTTGTCCTCCTGAGCCCACAGCTTCTCAGTTTCCCTCATCGCTCTTCCTCAGGCTGTGGATGGGCTGCTTTATTCTCTTCGGGGTAGCCACAGTGGTACTAAAAAGAGCACATGGTTTATGAGGCTTTGAACAGTTCAGTATTTACCTCCTTGGTCTCATTGCTCATCACTTCTATGGTGGTTTGAATAAGTGTTTCCCATAGGTTCCAAGTATTTGAACACTTGGTCAGTTGGTGGTACTGTCTGGGGAGGGTCATGGAATCTTTAGGAAGTGTGGCCATGTCACTGGGGGTAGGCTTTGAGAGTAGATAGCTTGCCCACTTGCAACCTGTTTCTCTCTGCTTTCTGAACCTACTTGAAGATACGAGTGCTCAGCTTTCTGCTCTGGCCACCTTTGCCACCATGCCTCCCATGCCATGATGGACTCTTGTCCTTCTGGAACCGTAAACCAAATGAACTCTTCCTTTTATAAGTTATCTCGGTCATGGTGTTTTATTACAACAACAGAAAAGTAACTAGTACCTCCCTCTAGTCATCCATTCCACATGCCAACAAAATGGGACAGCTTTCCTTTCCAATACACCTCTTGCCTCAGAATCCCAGAGCATGCTATTCCCTCTGTGTGCAACATCCTTTCAAACAGGGGAGCCTTCCCCTGAACCCTGCCCAGCTGATGCCTTGATTCCATCATGACATTTTTCCATCGTCTTATAATTAAAGTCCACTTGCTGGTTGCACCTAGATCAAGCGTGAGCCCATCTGTCCCTTGAGCCCATCTGTCCCTTATGCACTGGGTACACAGTAAATGCTCAGTAAATTTCTGTTGGATCAATAGAGTCTATGGTAGCATTGAAAACCCAGGTCTTGATTTCTGGTCCCAGATAGAAGAAGACTGTTTACATACAAACCATCATTCCAAGGAAAATGCTGACCTGTGGGGATAGTGACCTGTGCATGTAATCCCAGTACTTGAGAGACTGAGGGATCACTGTGACTTAAGGCCAGGTTGGGCTATACAGTGAGAGCCTGTCTCAAACAAACAAAAAAAAACAAAAAAAAAACCAATAAATAGGGCTGGTGAGGTGGCTCAGTGGGTCACACACAAATAAATAAATGTATAAATTTTAAAATTAACCCCCCAAAGCCAATAAATAAATATGGGGGGGCATCTGGCATGATAGCTCAGTGGGTAAAGTGGCTTGCCAAGCATGAGGACCTGAGTCTGGCCCCAGAACCCCTGTAAAAAAGCTGGGTGTGGTAGTGCTTGTTTGTAACCCCAGTGCTGGGAGGCGGAGACTGGCCATCCAGTCCAGCCAAACTGATGAGTTTCAGGCCAGTGAGAAACCGTTTCAAAACAAAAACAAAAACAAAAAACAGGGTGGATGGCACCTCCTGAGGAACAAGGTTGATGTGTCTGGCCTCTACATGCATACCCACATATTCATTCATACCCCCCAACACATGCATGTGCACACACACACACACACACACACACACACACACACACACACAAAGAGAGAAACATGGTTACCCTCTACTTTTGTCTTTGAAAAGAGTCAATGCCTTAATTTGCCCCAATAGAAATTAAGGTAGGAATAAGCTAGCTGACACTGAAAGGCAGGTCCCCTCCACCTCCTGCCCTGTCTTCTGTGCTGCGTGTTTGTGCAATCCTTCCCGTGAGGAGACAGTTTTCTTGTGTGAACCCTGGATCAGTTTCTGATTGTCGTTTTGGAGGAAGGGATGGGCCATCAACTCCAGGCTTCAGAGAAATCTGCCTTTGCTATTGCTTTCTCCAAGCAAGAAGGGGAGGGGAGGCTGACACAACACTTCCTCCATGAGGACTCTGGCCAGAAGCCTGTACTTGGCTCCTGTGGGAAACCCCAGGAATGCTGTCCCTCTGCCTCAGTGTGGATGGCAGGGCACTCTGTGAAATGATTTACCTTTGTTGTTGCAGGCAATCCACTTCATGCGGTCAGCAAAAGTTACTTCTCTCCCAATAAGATAAGTGAAAACTCGGACCTGTCCACAAGATAGATTGACTCAGCAGCTGCAAGCTGCATCAGGGTCATTGCGAAGGGCTTAGATGATGAGCCAAGCCTGTATCCGTCCCTGGGTTCTCCAGTTGTACCCCCCTGGGGTCCAGGAAGACCCTGAGGCCCAGGCAGTGACATGAATTGCCCAGGGTCCTGGGGAGCATGGAGCAAAGCCATTCTGGCCCTGCACCCTGCAGCCTCTTGCACCCATCCTTTGGGCTCAGGTTGCCATAGTTTGGAGACACTCAGTTAGGACATACCTAAACTGGGGAACAGGTCTAATGGGAAAGAACTTTGAACCTGGGGTTGTGCTGCTTTTTCCTACCATGAGGTGTCAGAACTCTCCTTTGGCTTGGGGAGAGGCCCCCTTTCCCCTGACTTCTGGTAGGAAGTCACCTTCTGGTCCAGCCACTTATACTTCTCAAATACAGGCTCATAGTCCTCCACGGCCCTGTCAGTAATCAGCATGATGGCCTGGTTGCAGAGACTTCCTTGCCTGGCCTCTTGGAACTGTGTGAGCAGAGGTGAGGCTGTCACTACAGGCCAGAATCTGTAGTTCAAACATACCCTCCCTCTACTTACCCGCTCCCTCCCGTGCTTTGCCAGTGGCAAGTACCTGCTTCAAGATCTCAAAGGCTTCAGTTAAGGCATGGCTCACGATGCCCATGCCTTTGACCATCAGTTCATCCACCAGCTGCTTGAAATGCTGTTGGGAGAAATATGAGATGAGGCTCAGAGGATTGAGTGGGCCCAGGAAGCTTCCCTTCTGCCCTTAAGGGGGGAGGGCGTTTAGAGGTGCTGTCAGGACCCTACTTCAGGGCCCTGCTCCATGATGCAGCTAACTGCATCCACCTAAGTCAATGTTTCTCAAGTGCCCCAAGGATGAAGGAAGTTTGAATGACTTGACACTACTCTATATCTCCAACTGGAAGGTGGTGACGAGGGTGAGGCTAATCAGAGGTTGGACAGTCCAGGGATGCAGGTGAGGAGTGTCCTCAGCCTCACTGGGGAGGTATCATAAGAGAGATGATGGAGTCACCAGAGGTGAGGCCTGGGTTCAAGAGGACATCAAATTTAAAGCCTGTCATCCCAATAGATGTGTGAAATCTCTTAAAAATTTTGCCATGCCCTCTTACTTTTTTTTTCTAGTTTTTTTTTGGGGGGGGGATCTTGAGGAAATCCCTCAGTCCGACAGATTTGACTTTGTTCCTCATGAAGACTGTCACAGTGGAAAGGTGAGGTAGGCAAAAGGGAAACTGGGCCCTGGACTCTCCTCAAAGAGATCTGATACCAGGCCCCTCAGGTTGGGCCTGTTGGCTTGCTGTTTTCTCTCATAAGGAGAGGCATAGGATCAGCAGAGCTGGAATTTGTGGACTGGGGTCTACATGGCAACCACTGAGTTGCTTTGGTCTCCCTAGGCACTGGTGGACAGAGTGGCTGTACAGTGGTCTTTGAAGAGACACCTTTGTCATCTTGACAGAAACCTCGACTGTGGTTGACACTCACCTCTCGGTTGTCCCGATCGGCCTGGACAAGGATGCCTTTGTAGCAGGGCTCAATGTAATGGATGTAGTCATTGTACTGCAGTCACAGTGAGGAGAGGACAGACATTGCTGTGAGGCCAGAAGGGCTCAGGTAGGGCTCACCTGGACAACTGGGCAGTCCTGTTTTGGGGTGTCTGAATGGAGCAAGCAGGGGGTCTTGACTCTAAAAATCCTCTCCAAGCCCTGGTTTTCCAAGCCACTGTCTAGAACATACTAGGAACCTGTCATCCTGAGGGTTTCCTTTTGCCCTCAGACCAGCCAAGGTATTTTCCACCCGTCCCAGAGCCTCCCTCTTGTAGACCCCTCACCAGCCTGGGTAGGGGATTCCAAACTAGTTTTTGTTATATTTGATACAAGGTCTCACTATGTAGCCCAGGCTGGCCTGGAGCTCAAAGCAATTCTCTGAGCTCAGCTTCTCAAATGCTAGGATTATGGATATGTGCCACCAGGCCTGGATAGAAGCCATGCTCTTGCTCTTAGCCCTATATACATGTAGAGGGTTGTTTAGCAATCCATAGGAGTCAGAGTAGGAAGAAAAGTGAGTTATTACTGCTTTCTTTTCTTTAAAAAAGTTTTTAAATTTGTTTTTATTTTAGGTGTACAAGTGTTTTGCCTGCATGCATGTCAGTGCACCCATATCATGCAAAGCCTGCAGAGGCCAGAAGAGGGCATCGGATCCCCTGGAACTGGAGTTATGGATGGTTGTTGGCCATCTTGTGAGTGCTGGATTTGAACCTGGGTCCTTTTCAACAGCAACCAGTGCTCTTAACTGCTGAGCCATCCCTCCAGCCCCAGCTCTCTTTTCTTAATCACCCTGCTTGTCCATAGTCAGAATATAAATCTTCAAGGTCTCTAATCCATCTTCTGCCTTAGTGATAAGGAAGAGAGAGGGGACTGTAACTACATCACAGTGGGTTTTGGGGTTCTAGGGCTTGCTGGCAGTGGGTGCTCTTCCTAGGAGTTTCAGTGGGAGGGGCAGCAGGGCAGGAAGAGGGAGAGAAGAGCTGAAGGCTCTGATGGGCAGTGCTTCCTCATCCCTGGTAGAGTATGGAGCCTGTTTCTGTGGTTGTTCTGTAGCTGCTATAGGTCCTGGGATCAGGGTGGAGAGGAAGTCAACCAGGGAAGGGTGGGGGCTAGGATGGGTGCCATGGGCAAGCTGAGCCTGGGTAGTGACTCAGTGTGATCTGAAGTTAGACATCTGTGCTTGAGCATGACCTTACAAACTGTAAATTCCAGAAAAGGCAAGAAATGGCAGCAATTAGGTAGACTGATGAAGTCTGGGGATCAAGTGACCTTCAAAATGACGCCCCAGGGTGGCTGGCCACTCTGCCTCCGTGGAGCTGGAGTGGCTTGCTATGTTGTTGGATTTTCAAAGCACTCTCCTCTTGTCTTCTTTGTACCTTTCCCCCCGTCCCTGTGTGTCTGGGTTTTGGTGAGATGAGGAAAGTTAGAGAACTGGAATTGGAACAAAGCCAGAGCCCACGACTATCTGACCTCTGGTAGATGGGGAGGCTTCCAGCAGCAGGGCCAGGAGCCCACAGAGGGGATGAGGGCATTTCCAGGGCCTGTGGTTCACTCTCTGTATCAGAGCCCAGACACTGAGAGACTGATGGAGAACGTAACCTCAGAAAGGGATGTGCACACTCATGTATTATTTCAGACATGCTAGGTACCTCTTAAAGCCATCCCCAGGAAGACCACGGGTGCTAGCTCAGGAGCCTCCTTGGTAGAGGAAGGTGTCCCTCTATGGTGGGAGGCACCAGTGGTTGCAAAGAGGTTCTCGTGGTACAAGCCTTCCCAGAGCAGGTGAGAGGGACTGTAGAACAGGAAGCCACCATTACTGCAATGATGTTCACGAAGTCATTCTCTCCCAGAGTGTCCAAAATGGTGGTGATGGTGTGCTTGGCAATAGCCATCCTCAGTCCCTTCATGCTGCCACTTATGTCTACAAGAATAACTATGTCCTTGGGAGAGGTGGCAGCTTGTATGTACCTTCAGCAGATGAAAGAAAGAAAGAAAGGAAAGAAAGAAAGAAAGAAGGGAGGGAGGGAGGGAGAGGAAAGAAAAAGAAAGAAAGAAAGAAAAAGAAAGATGAGGTAAAAATAAAAGCTGTGTCATCCCAGGATATGGGAGATGGAGACGAAGGTAACAGGACCAGAAGATAAA